CGAAGCCTCATGGTTGATATTCCGCTGCTCGCTGTTGGCCAAGAATTGGAGGATTTTGACAAGCTTGTCGTCTTAAAGAGATGAACTCGGCCATGTTCCCGGTGCTTGCATCCCATCTTCTAGTTCCTTATGCTGTTGTTGTGGCTGGTAGTTCGGACGGGGAACAAAACTCGGATGGGGTTGCTGTTGCATGAAGTTTGGTCGAGGCTGTAAGGTGTTTCTGTTGTTTGACCAGGAGAAGTTGGGATGATTCCGCCATCTCGGGTTGTACGATTTTGAAAAAAGGGTCATTGCCTGGTCGGTTCTGGTATCCCTGTAAAGCATTGGTATCTGCATACTGCTCACCAGAGTCCTGCTCGAAAGAAAAAGGACACCCCACATCTGTCAACGACCATAGTCTGCACTGGCTGAACTCCTCGTGCGTTGAGTAACCTCATTTGCTCTGTGAGCACGGCTAACTGTTGGGCCATCAAGTCATTGCTCGTGCCGACCCCGTTCACTGTCGCTCTCTTCCCTCAGCTGCTCTTCTGCGACGAGTTCGTGCTCATCGTCTCAAATATGTCAAGCATATCCTCAGCCGTCTTTGCTCCAACATCCCCTCTTGTCGCATTGTCAACCATATACAACAAGTTCTGGTGGAGGGAATCGTAGAAACAGTTCATCAGTAGCCCCGAAGAGAGATTGTGATGAGGGCATTGCTGCTGGAGATCCTTGAACCGCTCCCAAACCTCATGAAGAGGCTCATTTGGTAATTGAGCAAATGAGACGATCTGTGATCGGAGCTCCTGGGTCTTTTGATGGGAGCAGTACCTCCCAATAAACTTTGAGTACACTCCGGTCTAGGTACTGAGAGAGCCCAGTGCAAGCGTCATGAACCAGGCCTTGTCCAAGTCTTTCAGTGCCTCGGGAAAACATCTGCACTTCAATTTCTCCTCACTCAGCCCATGGAGAGGGAAAGTATGGAGGACATTGTAGAATTCCCAGATGAAGTTAAGCGGGTCTTCGTTGGGGAGCCTGTCTTGAGCTCATAGTTTCGTTCAGCTTCCCCCAAACGAATGCATGAAATGATTGGCCCGATCATCGGTTGGGCTAAGGTTCGGAGGGTGTTACGGGACGGTAGTAGAGCCATATCTAGATTTGTTGGTTTGGATGGTTCTAGGCTAAGCTTGTCGAATAGTTCCCTTATGCTCTCGTGACTTGGTTTGTCGTTTGGTTCAAGAATACGTCCACTCCTGGTATGCATACACAAGACAAAAGAAACCGTCACGAGCACCAGATAAACAAAGAAGAAACCTAAAGAAAAACAACCAAACAAAAAATCAAGAACTATTAGACTAAATAAAAGAAACAAAGAGAAATACGGAAACAAGAAAAAGCACAAGAAATAAGAGAAGCACTAAAAAAAAGAATAGGCGCACAATTAAAGTCCTAAACCTTCCCCAACAACGGCGCCAATTTTGTTGTAGGTATTTTTACCGAAGTCGAATCAAAAGATTCGTTTCCCGGGTCATATCACAAGGAAGGTTAGCCGGATTACTTGTACGGTATTCAATCACTCAAAAAGAGAAACAAAGTCCTAAACATACTAATTCAAGATTTTTGGTTTTTTTTTATCAACTACGAATTATAAAAACAAAGCTAGCTATTCCAAACTCACAACTCAAAATACAAATTCAAATAGTGATAAGGGGCTAGGGTGTCGGGGACAATCGCTTCCGGTTCTAAATACATTTAATGAGCATTCAAGAACTCGGTTAAATGACTCAATGAAAAACTCATCTAGAGATCTATCCTCAATCTCTTCGTAACAAGAGGGTAGACATAAACGAGTAATTCTTGAAACAATTAACACATAGGCAATACCATTACGAAGAAGCTTGTTCTTAACAGGCCTATATCGAACATTTCTCCCCTTTCGATTCTAAAATCGATTAATTAGATTAAGATGGTGATCAAGCATCTAACCCAAGGATTAGCACAACTCGAAAAGAGTGAGAAATCAACATATGCATAAATGAAATCGAACCGGAACGATAATTCCCTAACCCTAGCTAACAAATTTAGCTACTCATCACAAATTGAGCATAAACATTCATATCAAACAATGCCATAACATCCATAGATTAAAGGAAATAGAAGCTTACGATTAATACGAAGGTTCAATGTCAAATCCTGAGTGCAAAGAAAATCCTAAAATACCAATCTTGGAGTTTTTACTCTCCAAGATGAATCCCTAAGAAAACTAAGAGAAAAATGAGTTGGAAGTGAAAAGTACGAATACAATCTCTAAAACCTAACTTAAAGCATGTCCTCTCGTTTCAAAAAATCTCTCCTTTAAAAACTGCATGTCGCGGCCTCCGCGGCCGTGGAGATTCCCGCGGGCCGCTGTGAAGAAACGCTCTGCAGCCGCGAGAAATCTTGTGCAGAAGGGTCCCGCGGCCGCGACCACCTATCCCGCGGCCGCGGCGATGGAAAAAACTAGGCTGGGATCATGTTTGTTCCCCATGGGCGCGGGCCGCGGGAAAGGAATGTGGCTGACTTCTCAGGCTTACACTTGAGCGTCCAGACTCAAAATTTAATTCCATCTTTTTCTACTCGACTCGACCTCAACCTCCTAGATAGCAATCCCCGCATGGCCACTTACCGAGCCATCTAACCTGTACATCACCACGGACAAGAAAAACGCAGAAAATCGGGAAAAACAAACACAAAACCAACAACGAACAAAATAAGGAAATGAACGACAAGACACAAAATGGACCAAAAACCATAGAAAAACACCTAAAATGGGGAAAAATAAAGATAAAACAAACACGAAAAACACGATGAAAATGGAACGAACAAGCTCGAAGCTTCATTTCGTTCATTAAATATTTCAAAAATATTTAAGAGTCGTTGGACAATAGTCCTTAGTTTGAAATATACCCCAATGATTAATTTCAATTTTAGAAACACCCAAATATGCCTTAACAGTTTTTCCCAAATTACAAATAGGCCCCAGGACAGTTTTAGAAATTACAAGCAGACCCCAAACCAGTTCTGAATTTGCAGATTGACCCCATGGGTCAAATTGAAATAAACAAAAGTTTTAGAAATTGCAAATTCATCCTTAAATATTATCAAATTTTCGAAATGAAGTCCTTCAACAACAAAACCCTATTTCACGTTTCCCGTCGAACATCTCCCAGGCGCTTCACCTCCGGCATGCTCTCTCTACCCCAGGCTGGCGTCAACTCGCTCCGGTGACCTCCATTTGAAGAACACGAGCTGGTGGCACGTCGCAGCTGGTCGCAGTCATTCGATGTGGGGCGTTGCGGTGGTCGGCTGCTCCGGCTGGGTCGTGGCGTCTGTCCGGCTGCTCGGGGTCAACGGTCGCGACCTTCGGGTCGTGGTTCGTCGGCTCCAGGTTGATGAATATATATTGATCACGAAGTCTAGATTACCATGAGATCTTCTACTATATATCTCAAACACCTCTTCAACTTGTATCGGTGGAGCGACAAGAAGAACATAAAGCTTGAACAGAAAACTGAGAGAGAGAGAGGGACGCGCGCGTGTTGTATTACACACGTAGGAGAATTCTGATCTCTTTTTTTTTTCCATGAGCTTAATGATGTATATATAGAGCTACAGTAGGGACCCTTAGGAGATTAGGAATGTGGCTTATTAATTAATTGGACTAACTGTGGGCCTGACCCACTCTTCTAATTAATTAAATAATATTATGGGCAACTAACATAATATTATTGCACTCCCTTTTACTAGCTCAATTTACAATTGATATTCCAATAATAATTACCCGAATTACCTCCTTATGTTTAAGATATAATCGAATTAATTAATATATTATTATTTCATCAAAGTTAGCGCTCGTTCATCACATTATTACTATGCCGTAAATTAATTTACCTACAAGGTTTAGCCTAATAATCCTTCATGAACTCACTTCGGGGACATCATCAAAATAAACGTACATGGTGGCCGTAAATATCAAATAGCACAGCTTAAATACAGTCACATTACCCAAGACAGTAGGAATATTAATTCAGCAAACTGAAACTCATACATGTGAATCAAAATAATATATACTGCATATATGTATGTCTATTTAATATCGTACGGGTTAAGAGAACGCAGTAATTAACCGAGACTTAGTTCTTTTACGACGATCAGTATAAAACAAACTTCTCCTCTCTTGGATCCTGTTCAATACATAAATGTACTAGTGAAACTAATCAGTAAAGACAAATTGTATAGTTGACACTACAACCGTTCGGATGGGGTGTTCATTTCCATTTAGGTTGTGAAACAAAATTCTTGTTTCATAAGTAACTGATAGAATGATATTCGGTTCGTCCGATGACGACCTATTCTATCTAAGTGCAAAACAATACAACATAGAACTTGTTTAATCTAACATGAATCTCATTCATAAAGGTAAAAAGCGTAATATCATCAAAAGTCAAGCTTTCAGTATATAACACTAACACACACAACCCCTCCCCCCCAAAACTGAGTTCCAGAGAGCTGCTTCGGTCCCAATGGGACGAGAGATATGATTGGTCAGACACCTACAGCTGCTCGGGTCTGATTACCTCTACCCTCCGCCAGAACCTCATGATTCACAGTGACTGGTCTAGTCACTGTGTCCTGTACGTTTGTATTATTCCGAGTTAGGCCTAACTGCAATGTTGGGATCTGATCAGGTCGGCTGTGAAGGGCTCGACCCTGATGACTGAGGTCGAGGATGTGAGGTCCGCCGAGGTGAGGTCATACTGAGGTTTGATCCCAGAAGTTGGTCAGTGGCCTGACTGTGAAGTCGAGCTCGACTGTGACATGAGAGCCCATAATTGGTGATGGATAGGCTCGAACCCAATTGCTGTAATTTTGAAGTTCGTCGGTGGACGGGTGGGGCGAGTTCGGCTCTCCAAATGCTAAGAGTTCGGCATAGGCGACCGAATTTGTTTTTCGAAGTGTTTCAAGATTGACCACGTTCTGATATGAGGTCGATCGTGTTCCAGTATGAAGTTGGTCGTGGTCTGCGGTCGAGCCCCGAGGTAGAGCCGTGCAACTCGACAATGACGTCGATGGCCCAGGGTTGTGTTGTGCGGCTCAATAATCAGCCTAATATGTGTTTCGTTGCGGCTCAGTAATCGGTCGGAAGAGAGGCCTTGTTTGGTGGTTGTGGAGGCCTAACTGCTGTAAAGTCGGCTCAAGTGGTGCAATCGATCGAATTTTCTTTTCTCCACCGCCGTCCATGTTGACAACGGCGGCGGCGAGTCTCGTTGCGAGATGTCTCCATCCAGTAGGAAGGAGTATCAGACCCTGCTGGTATAAGTGGAAGAATGATGATGCCGAGACACGGCCAATTTTGTCCAATAGAGAATGATGTTATCCATCCACCTTTTGATCTTCAGAGGAAACTTATCGAAAACATTTTTCTTGAAGTTGGCATATTCATGAATTTGTGAAGAATAGAATGAATACAAAGAAATTATCGTAAAATTATCAATAATCTTGTTTAATTCAAAGTGATCTTCTTTCAGTATAGATGAGGCCGTTTTCCGACAAAGATTAACCCGAGAAAATTATGGGCCCTTCCTGTAGCGCCAAATTATTGATATGCGAAATTTGATCAACGTCGTTGTATTTGTGTATACCAAATTTCAGTATAAATTGAATAAAAAGATTGAAGAAGATCATACATTTGTTTTTTATTTTCAATATTTTTTCTTTCTGCTTTTCTTCACCCCCTAGACATAACCAAATGAGGGAGCTCCCAGCAAAAGAGCACCGTCACTCCTTTCTTCAGATAAGAGAAAGAAAAAGTCAAAGCCCCTCTCCACTTTCAGCCCATACGCACATACATATTTATATTGGGCCTATATGGGCCCGTACATCAAAGGGGCTTTCGCATTACTTTATCATATAATATAATAATACACATATAATGAATCAAATGTGACCACGTGGGGTCCAGTAATTATGATGCTTGACGACATCGATTGATATTTGTCTTGTCGGCAATTATTGTGTATGTCGGTGCAGTTTTTTTATGATATCCGAGTCAGTCTGGGGACATTGAATTCTGCTCGGCTCGGACGTGGGCGATTTTGAATTCTGGACACTCGGTTAATATTAATAAATCAATTTGAAGAACTAGCTACTTTAAATTTAATACATATCCACGTGTAGCATTTTTATTAATCGAGGTCGAATTGGGTATCAGCATGTGACAAAATTGATGTGTGGCATAAACATTTAGGTCGCATTAGTTCTAAGGGTCTTGAGATTTTTCATAAAAATGGTTGTTTTGGTGATGACAACTTGTCTTGTATGCATTTCGTGATTCATGTGCGCTTGGCAAACAATCAAGAATGAGTTTTCCTGCTTCTCTTGTTGCAAAACTACGTGCTTATTCTCGAATACTTGAGTATTTATATACTGATGTGTGGGGTCCGACTAGTGAGCTGACTCATGGTGAAAATCGATACTTTTTGTCTGTTATTGATGATTTTTCAAGGAATGTTTGGGTGTTTTTATTAAAAAACAAATCTGATGTTTATGAGAAGTTTAAAAACTGAAAAACCCTGATAGAAAATCAAACATGCAAGAAAATACGAGTTTTGAGGACCGATAGCGGTCTTGAGTTTTGCAACCAATTGTTTGATGATTTGTGTGCTAATTCTGGTTTTCAAAGACATTGAATTGTGCCTTACACGCCTCAACAGAATGGTGTCGCTGAGCATATGAATAGAACTTTTCTTGAAAGAGTGAGATGTATGCTTGCATGTTTTGGTCTTTCTTAGAAGTTATAGGGTGGGGTTGTGTTAACTGCGTGTTATTTGATTAATCATTCTTCTTCTATGCCTTTGAATGGTAAATGTCCAGAATCTATGTGGTCCTGTACACAAATTGATTTTTTGAATTTGAAAGTGTTTGGTTGTTCTGCTTTTGTGGATCAGAAAAAGGATAAACTTGAACCAAGGTCTGTGAAGTGTGTTTTTTTAGGCTATTCTGATGGGGTTAAGGGTTATCGTTTATGGTTAAATGGGGAATCTGGCTTTAAAGTGTTAATTAGTCGGGATGTAATTTTAAATTAGTTTGAATTTCCTTGCTTGTCTGCTCCTTTGCCTGTTTATGAACCTGCTACTACTCCGAGTGAGGTGGAGTTTGTACCTGGTCCGAGTCTTTTACCTGATAATGTGCAAAATGTGTTTGATATGTCTGTTGAAAATCCTATGCCTGAAAATCTGTTGATGAGCCTGATAATCATGTCGTTGATGCTAATGTACATGAGAAAATTGTTGAAAATTTTCATGAATCTAATCTTGGTGATTTGAATGATTATCGTTTGGCTAAAGATAGATCTACAAGAGATAAGAGATCGACCCAACGTTTTGATGACTTTCATATGACTTTCCATTCTTTTAGCGTGTTTGATTTGATTGATAATTGTGAACCTAAGTCATATGAAGATGCCTTGAAATCTGAGAATCTTGTGCAATGGTTGAATGCTATGAATGAAGAGATGACTTCGTTGCATGTTAATAATACGTGGATTCTTGTGCCTAAACCTGCTAATTGTTCTAGTGGATTGTAAGTGGTTGTTTAAGCTCAAGAAAGATAGTGATTCTGTTAGATTCAAAGCTAGGTTGGTGGCAAAGGGTTTACATAAAAGGAAGGGGCAGGCTTTACTGAGATATTTGCTCATGTTGTGAAATTTACTACTTTACGGATTATGCTTGCCTTAGTTGCTCAATTTGATTGGGAGTTGAAACAACTTCACGTTAAAATTGCTTTTTTGCACGGTGAACTTGATGAGACCATTTATATGCGACAACCTGATGACTTTGTTGCTTCTAAGTATCCTAATCATGTTTGTATGCTCAAGAAATCGTTGTACGGTTTGAAGCAATCTCCTAGACAATGGAATAAAAAGTTTGATGAATGCATGTTATCTTTGAATTTTATGCGAAGCAGTTATGAGCATTGTTTATATTTCAAAACAAAATGCAAAAGTGTCTGTTTTCTTGCTTGTCTATGTGAATGATATGTGCTTGGTGAGTCATTGCTTGAAAACAATTGATCATGCTTGATATGAAGTTTCTTGGAGATGCTAAACGAATTCTTGGCATGAACATTCATAGAGATAGAAAGTGTTCTACTATTGTGTTAAACAAGATGTGTTTACTTTGTGTGGTGCTTTTATTAGATGGAAATCTCAATTACAACACATCGTTGCACTTTCGACCGCTGAGTCTGAGTATGTTGTTGTGACCGAAGCCTTGAAAGAGACTATTTGGCTCAAGGGGCTGTTATCAGAAATTGGTTTTCTTGATAAGGAAGTTGTAGTATTTTTTGATAGTCACTCTGGGATTTAGTTGTGTAAAACTCTCGTTTTTCATGATCGTACTAAGCATATAGATGTTCGGTTTCATTTTATACGAGATATAGTGTCTAAAGGCTTGGTTAATCTTGAAAAAATTACTTCTGAATTTAATCCTGCTAATATGGGAATTAAGTGTTTGTCTGTTGAGAAGTTTAGACCATGCTTGAATATTTTGAACTTTGATACGTGTGATTAATGTGCGATTATGTGAACTCTGTGTGAGGTAGCCGACTTTGTGTCTGCTACATATTTGCCCTAACTTTGTGTTTGAGTGCAGGTACGGTAAGGTAAGAGGCGTTGATGACCCCTGTCAACCCGAGTCCTGTGAACCGACTTTGGGCCAAGGTGGAGATTATTGGTGTTGTGGCCCAAGTGATATTTTATTGATGACGCAATATTAACACAACTCTCTGGCCCAATCTCTTTGGCCTGAGCTCAGTATGGCACCCCACTTTGATCTAAGTTAATCTTGATCGTACGTATTTAAAAGGCTTGATCTTCGCCCTTCATTTTCCTTCCTTAGTTTACCTGTCGCCTAAGATTTATCAGCCACCCTAAGC